TGGACATATAACCATCCATTAATATTTCAGGAATATTATTTAATATTATATAATTTTAGTAAAATATTATTAAAATGTTATATTTAATATTCTGACAATATGCCTAAAATATTATTTAATATTAAATAATATGCGCTTATAGGGATTTAATATAAATTGTCGCTCTTCTTCATCCCGTTCCCTCTGATCCTCCCACTTCAATCAGCTCAGCTACGGCACTGGCGAAATGTTAATCAAATGCAATCAAAGCTAGAAGAGCACATCGTAACGTTCATTCTCGAGCCATCAAAAGTTACACGAAAGTTACGATTACAAAACCGGGCTGCGTTCCAAAACAGTATTAACTAAAACTCTAGCTGTTATAATAATTACTCAAAATCACTTACTTGTTCCGGAATGCAACGCGTGGTAGAGAGATGATAGCCTCGACTATATGGAAGACTACAAGTATCTGCGAGGCGTCGTTGATTTACGAAATTCTTTATATGTGGACTCCGGGCGCGTAGCAGGTTCTCGACCAATTGAAAACCGCGCCGATTTAAACTTGACCAATTCCCGACCATCTTCGCGCGCGCGCGCACGTCGTATATTTGTGCGTGAATGTGTCTTTGTCGTGATGGGGAGCGATCCCAGTCGTCGGTAACGGTTAGGGTCGTCTGATATGGTTACATGTGATATGAACGTCTCTACTTTATGCGAGATTGGATCCGACACAATTCCTCAAATTCTGTTTGCAGAAACCGAACGTCCGACTATTTATTATCACGTGACCGCCACGAATCGCGAGACACGCAATCGCGTGATATCGTGGAACTGATACAAAGCGCAAACGCCAGACGTTTGCGGTTCGTAACTTCGTACTCATTCGTATTCATTCACGTGATCGTGATGTCGCGAGCGCGTCGTTTACAACGTTCAAAGTATTCTCCACTTTAAATATTTTCTAGAATTCCTTCAATTGACATTCAGAGATTTTTTTACGCATTTTTAAGGGTCGATAGAAATGACAATCCGACTCATTTACCCCTCATTTGCGGTGCAGTTACATATCTGCACTCTATCAAACTTTTATTACAATATATTGTCTTTTAGAAAAAAATATTGTGCTATGAAACTCGTTTTGGCTTATATTTTACGAAGCTACGAAGCCTAGCTATTAAAGAGTCGAATTTTGCAATTTCACTCTTAAAAACATAATAAATAAATCCATGCAGCAATATCGTTGCAATAACGCTACAATATTGCTGCAACATGCAATATTACTGCAATGTTGCAGTATTGTTGCTGCAACTTTTGTGCTGTAGGGGAAATGATATGTTCCTTATTTACGGTGCAGATACATATTTTCTTTTACGGTGATATTTTATCTCCGTGTCTCCTAAAACCTTTATACATTTTAAAACGAATTATGCATTTAAGCAATACTTTTTCAATGTAATAATTTAAATAATAATGTAATATTCTATCTTTTCATATTTGATTTTAAAAAAATTTCGATTGCGGTGCCTCAATAGCCCCCTCCCTTGACAAATTTCTGAATCCGACAATGTTCTACGGTCAATCCTTTGTAACAAAAGGAATAAAAAGATAACGTTCGAATGAAATTAACGTCTCAATAGAACAAGTAATGGACAGGGCAACAATATATATAATTTATTTAAAAGAGAAAAGAGCCAGAAAGAAAAAATTGCAGATTAAAATTAAAAAGAAAAAGAACAGAACAGTATGACGAAAAGGGAAAGAATGCATGGATTGAAATTAGAGAAAAAGAATTAGACAGGAAAAATATGATTAGAGATATTACGAGGTACGCGTATTGACAGACGATAGTTCCGTTCATCAGAAGACACTCGCGAACGAGGAGTTGGGAGAAATTACATCGTTTTGATAATGTAACACTGTAATAACGTGATGTTCCGATAAAGTGATGTTGCTCTGGTTTTTTCTTCGATTGTGCACAATAAGCGTTTATTCGTCGATGCGACGCGCACGAGAATAATCAGAACACAATGGAATGAGCGTCGAAAGATGTTATCTCTTCTAAGTTCCAAATGATCGCCAATGTGGCTCGATATAACGTACGCTCCCGGATCGATGGTGCATACAGACTGCGACATATATATTTGATAAACGAGAGAAGCTGACAACAGAGAAAGAACAGTACGATATAGTAGTTATGTTCTCCTGCAGAAGTGAAAGTAACTAATAGTTCTTTTTAATCCAGATCGCATTCGGTGACCCTTTAAAGCACGCGGAAAGTTTTGTAATACTTCGTGTAAGAATTATGTAAAACTTTCATAAACGTTAATCAATTAATTCAACATATTCCTTATTTTTATATCCTAATTCTTGTTCAAAAAGTAGTGAAATAAACATCTTAATTGAATTTGCTAAAATAGCTTTTATAATGCACCGGTGAAAAATTTTTCATATTTTAATTTTAAGAATTTATTATATTTTAAATTTGTGTGTGAAGACTTCTGAAAAAAATATCCCTTAAACTTCTTTAGAATTTATAAATTCCTTCAGAAATTATAGAATAAACAATCTTAGAAATCTTAGAATACTTCAGAATTTACGTATTTGAAGAATTCTAAAAAAAAATGTAGATTTTCTTTGCATCTCCAAAAAGTGATTCAATTCGTATAAAAAAATTTGAGAAATTTTTTTAATTTATACAGAAATTTTAAGAAATTCTGAAATTCACATAAGTTTGGAAAATTTATATTTATGTACATTTATGAAAAGTTTTAAGAAAAATTTTCACCAGGATTGCCCCAGGATAAAATTTGGTTACGTGTAATTACCGTTAATTGTTCACAAAATCTAAGATAATCTAAATAAATATATAGGATATAAATATATAAAAGATCTTTGATATCAATTTTAATGTTTCTTTTAATTGTTCAATATTAAATAATAGTGGTAATTTAAATACACTCTTCTAGATAATTTGTATCTGAAAAAGCATTCTTTATATTATGTTTAAATACCGAACGATGATTTTTCATACGCAAATATTTAACTGGAAATAAGCTACGAATAATCTTCATAAATCTGAGAATTAAAAACGGGTGGCGAGTAAAACATGGACTTTTCTTATCACTAACGCACGACACGCGTTGTTATGCAACTAATTTTAACATCCAATTTCTTAATCTGTTATTTGTATCGCGAACCAGCATGACAACGTGATACTTGCCATACAAGCGAAAGGAAGTTGATCAGCCGTAAGAAAATTCCGATGCAATGTTGGCGAAAGTAAACTTAAATGATACGCTTGTGTGCGTATACGTTGTGCTTTTTTTATAATAAACGCCTGCTAATTTAACGTAAAAATTAGATTTCAAACATTTAGTCTACATTCACAAAGCACGTGATTACAAGGATGTGGTAAGTCGAAGCTCTTTAACCATGTCGCTCTTTTTATTTCGATATCGTGTACACTTAAGGCTCCTGAGTAGTCACGTTAATTTTTATTACGTGCCATTCGTAAATAAAAATAATTTGGATAAAACAAAATGACGAGATTGTATTAAAATTGTAAAAATGAACAAAAACTATGCTTATTCCTCCTGGCAGTCAGTAAATAATCGTAAAAAGTGATAAAAGTACTTTTATTCAATACGCCCTGTTTTCACTTATGCCTTTTGCCCTTTTCACTTTTATCACTTTTTACGATTATTTATTGACTGTCGGGGGGGGGGGGGGGGTAAAAGGATAAAGATAGCTTTCGTCCATTTTTACAATTGTTTTAAAGCGATCTCATGTCGTTTTATCCAAATTGTCTTTATTTACAAATGCACGTAATAAAAATTAATGCGTTATTTCTTGCTTTTGACGTCACGGTTTAATATAGATTACTCAGGAGTTTTAATTACTTCTTTTGTTGCCACATTATTACGTTCGAACTATTTTTTGTGTTTTTTCGTGATTAACGTACTATCTAATCGACAATGTAAACGAAGTTTTTATCAAAGGATCTCTTCTAGCTAAGAAACAATGACGTGTTCAATTGTATTGCTTTTTATTATTATTCTCCTTTATGTATACCTGCATCGCATTTAATTAGTTTCGCCTCCTTAGAAATGAACTATCAAATATTCAGATTTACAATCGCAGTGTTGAGCAGTTTTCTTTATAAGATCAGCTCTACAAAACGCAAAAGTATCTGGTGTATAACCTATTATTATATAGCGGTCGTATGCTGGATTGTCCCGGCTTTTCTTCTTCTCGTGCCACTTCTCGTTACAACCCCCGGTGCTGTCGACAATACAATTAATGTAAACTTAAATACGGCCTCATTTAGATAGATCTAACATGATTTCCTTTCTTTCTTTTCCACTTGCAAAGTGTACTTCTTTGTCGTCGACTGTTGTCTCGTGTGCCAGCTTCGACTTCAGGATAGCCGTTAGCAATAATCTCAGAGGAACCTAACAACGAAACATACATGCACGCACGTACGCACGCACACACACACGCACACGCACACACAAATATATATGTGTGTGTATGTGTGCATATATAGATATATATGTAAATATTTGAACAATAAAATGCATGATTCATACGTTCATGTTTACAAGAATTTCGGCTAGCATTTTATTTTTCTCTCGCAGATAAAACATCATTATCACCGCTTCCACCGTGAGAGATCTATCGTTAGCGTATACTTTCCAATTGCGATTCGACAGACCCTTTGTAAAGCGATTAATTCCCTTTCGCCTAAAAAAAATAGCGCTAAAAAAAATACAATCAGAACGCGGTTGTAACGATATTATGAACACCAACCTTTAGCATACAAAGATTACTTATATCTCAACTACGTTTGTGGGAAATATCTCTTTAGTTATCAGGTCTATGATGATGCTCTTTACAACTCAATTTGAAATTTGACACGTACGCACACACATACAGTTCCTCTCTTTCTCTCCCCCTCTCTCTTTCTCGCATCCACCTTGACAACACACTTAACAAGCATGCCGCTAAATTATTCTGAATAGATCCAAGTAAACGTACGTGCGTGCGTGCGTGTATGTGTGTGTATATGTATGTATGTGTATATATATATATATATATATACATAGAGTGTTTGTTAAGTTTTAACAAAGCCTCGTGAGCAGGTAGAGCAGATTAAACTGAGTCGAAAATTCCTATATTATTTTACAATTTTCGCAATTCTTTTTTTAATTAACCAGTGAGTAGTAGAGTGTCTACAATCGACACATAAAGCAACTTTAAGATATCTTTAAGAGTTCTTTATGAAATATCCTTAAGATACGTCATAAAAAACTTCGAAAATATCTTAAAGTCTTATGCGTCAATTTTATCCACTTATTCGGCATCTTTAGAAATTAATATCTCGTTAACTATTGCGAAAATTGCAAAATGGTAGAAGACTCAGTTTAGTCCGCTGTAGGCCAGGTGCTCACGAGCGTTTGTCAAAACCGGACACCCTATATATAAAAGTAGCAAAAAAGAAAACACTTGACATTCACAAAACGTTATTTGGAATAGCTTTCTTTAGATACACGATATTGAGATTATGATTAATTAGATACGCTACCGATCAGTCTGTACAGCCACATTAAAATTCTTTTTTACAAAATATTCTGCGTGCGTGCCACGCTCTCGCTTAACTTATGCGTCCAGTCTTCTTCAAAAACCATTGTTACGATTTCTTTCAGTTATATTATATTTTCAAATTTCTTTCAGTTATATTATTATTAATCAATCAGACAGTGCGTCATCACTTCAACGAATTGCCGCGCAAATCCGTTAAAACCTTAGCAGATAATTCATGTTTATGTATATTGGTATACCATTCTCTTACTGCAAATTTTGCTTTCGTATCCCCTCGAAACGATTCCCTTGCGATGTTCTCGTAGTCTGTAATTTAATAATTTAAAAAAAAATATATTCAAAATAGTTTAAACTAATTACGTTTAAATTTACATAATTTAACATATCTCATTATAATGTTATGACCACAGTAAACAGTTCCTCAACTTAAAAAGAAATTTATTAAATAATGTAGAAAGCTCACACAGCATCCTCTTTGACATTCACAATTATGCTATTTCAAATATTCGAGAGCCGGCGTGATCTTTAAATACATGTTGGCTAAGTTAAGTTGATCACAGTAAAGTGTAGAAAATGATAAATAAGGATCCGCAAACGACAGATCTTGCACGAGACGCAGGTTACCTTGTCGTGAGTGCTTCATCGCATGAGATACTTGTGTTATAAATTATAAACATAAGATAAAGAATTAAATCATTAATTTATATGATCAAATAGAAAGAATACTATGATGACTTATTAATTGTATCGTTACTTCCTACGTCACTTCCTAAAAGCGGCAGTATTGCTCACTTTGCTCTAAAATAACAAAAAAAAAAGAAAGAAAAGCCGTGAATATCCATTACAACGATAAGCGTTTGCATCTCTCGAAGAATTTCTTTTCGTTTAGATCTTTCTAAGCTTCATTGGTTTCGATCTCTTACTTCGTACACTGTTATACTTACAAAATTTGTAATTTTAGACGTAAAACATATTATAGAAAATAACACAAATACACTCAAATGCAAAAAAATATTCTAGGATGTTTGAAAGACAATTTAGAAATTTTGTTCGTGCATTTTCTTCTCCATTTTTTAAATAGTGTGACATAAAATAAAATAGTGGCATAATTCTACGTGCTTTGTTTGAAAACACGAAGAAATTTGAGAGAAATTTGATGTGCGTTTCGAATTAAATTAAATAAACTCGATAAATATTAAAATTCGAATAATACCTTTAATGGAAATTAAAAATTTTTATTCTTTTTTTAAATAGAAAATCTACATCTTTCTCTCAAACATCTTGCGAATACAACATAAAAAAAGGAACGATTCTTTCTCGGCGTCACGAATATTAAATATTACATCATGCAGAATATAATACGGCACCTCTTGAGATGTAACGATTACGTACTTCTATATACGATAGGGTATGAACCGGAATTTTAAAGTCTCACTTTCCTAATAAAATTAAAAAAAAAAAAGAAAGAAATTAGTTTATTAGATAATTATCAGACAATAATATTAGATACAATATATACGTGCATTTCGTAATTAAATGTTTTCGGAATCTAGGCGAAAATCCGTACTGAGTGACGCCAAAATAAGCTATTGGGCCATTACGTAAAATCTTTACAAAATCGAATCGAGGAACTATATCATCGCTTTTCCATGATAGCACTGCACACTTCACGATAGTTTCTTAATCCATTGTATACCAATCTTAGATTTACCTTTCGATGTCATTCTTGCAGTATTAAAATTGCATATTTAATCTGGCTGAAGAAACGAATTATGAACGCATTTTTCCAACCTTCAATATATCAGACGTCGCTCTCTTACTATACAGAATCGTATAAATTATTATGAGTGGCTGCCTAATTTAATTTTTTCTTCGTGTGGTGGAAATTTAATTGTAAATCTTAATGGCCTTTTCGAGGTAGTTGATACGAGAGCGCTTCGGCGCTTTGTTGACATGTTCCAGGCCAAGCCAAGGCCTGTGTGGCGATGTGCCTGCATTTAAAAGTGGATAAACTATAAAATTTATTCTTTATTAGCATCGTATCAGCAATACACCATATGTTAAATATAGTGATCATGCGATTTGACGCTTGCTTTACTAGTATACATTTTTAAAGGAAAAGTAAATGCTTCTTTATACTTACTCTGACTGGTGTATCTGGGAAGGAAATCCTCGATTTTGATACAAGAGTCCGGCGAGTCAATAATGAATTGCGGCTTGCCCATTGTCACCACCGCGAACTTAAACTTCAAAGTTTTTTTATGAATTCTCATAAAAGATCAAAAAAGATTAGCTAAGGATGCCTACCTTTTCGAATTCTTTCTCCTGAACCCCTAATTTCTTCAACAATCTATCCTTCATCTTGGGAAAAGGTTCACCCTACAAACACAAGAATTATTGATGCATTCGTGCGTTACATTATGCGTTAATTTAAATAAAACATCACTCACATGCTTGATCTTGAAGAAGAAGGGTATACCGAACGTTGAGAAAACCTCTTTGTGAAAATGTGCAACAGGAACTAGCATTTCACCCTCTGCTAAATTCACTTCGTCAAGTGGTATTTCTTCTATCCTATACAATTTGGTGCCTGATGTGTTTAAGTGATCTAAAGGTGTGTCATCCCCAGGGCCAGGTGATAGTTTGTTGCAAGTCATTTCTAATATCCTTAATTTCCCTGAACCATTTTCTGATAATTCTACTTGCTTCTTAGCCTCCTCAAGTAAATTAGCGACGGTACCATTTTTATTTGGGTAAAGGATCATCTCTTTCTCCTCTTTAAGCGATGGCCCAACCCATATACACTTGAACTGTTTCTTGTTTTCTAGTTCGTTTACCCTAATACTGAGCTGCTGATAAAATAATTTCTTTACTTTCGTTTTGCAGTACGCAACCAGTTCTTTGAGCGTGCCGTCGAATGTACACTTTAAAGGATGGCCGGGAGAATCTTTATAACTGTAAAAAAAATTTCAAAATAAAGCCCTTTTCCCTAAAAACATCTTGAAATAATCAAAATCTTATCGAACATAATTCGATTATTTTCGATATATAGTATTAACAGTATTAAAAGACAAGTAGGAACATTAATTCTTACTTTTGACATTTAAAGAATTGTAAAAGATACGGATCTGTGCCGACTCGTTGCGCTACAGCCTTTGCCATTTGATCATATGTCATTCTCAATGAAAGTTCCATTGTAAAACCTGGATCGTTTGGAATCAATTTATCACAAAATGTTACTTCTACTCTATAGAATAGATCTCTGAAATGTGAATCGCAATAGATTAGTGAGCATGTCATATTGTACTAATAATATTCAAGGACGCAATTCTCGAGATACATTGGCGATAAGAGATAAAAGTGTTAGTATTTGCACTACTTACTTAAAATATTCTCGACATGTTGGAAGTTCGTACATTTCATTGTCCCCTTCCTTTTGAAATACAATGATGTCACCATCCATTAATTCCTCCAGAACTTTTTCCAAAGGTTCCGATAAGTTATCTATTTTCTCAACTAAATTTGGTTTAATTTCTTCATATAAAGCGAGTTCTGTGTCTGGTGGGAATCCGGCGCGTTCATTTAAAATTGGTATGAGCTCCTCTGTAAAATTTATTTTCAGATATACATATGTACAGTATGTTTGGTTTAAGTGTATGCATTCATTGTCAGTTACTTTTTTAAATAAAGTTTACAAAAAAAATTTCGAGTAAACGCCATTTTGTTCAATAAGATATATATATATATATATATGACGATTTTAACAAATTTTAAATTATTTTTAATGAATACTTTCTTATTGGAGATATTTTGTTTTTCTACTCGTACCTACACAACAACTCAAGTGACTAATATCTTATGAACAAATATAAAAAGTCACATTTTACGTTATTGAATTTGTTATAAAACATCTTATACAACTGTGGGGTGTGTGTAATAAAATATATATAGGTATATATTCTTCATTTAAAAAATGTAAACCTATTATTAAAAAAAATTAAATATTTTGTGTCATTTTATAGACCTTAAACAAAAATATTTTTATTAAAAAAAATTTTATCATTCTATTTAAAAAATAATTATATACACAAATAAGTGCAAAACGTCATATTCGATTAAGGCGAATCTTCATGCCTAATAATATTTTTTGCGTGAATTTAAACAATTTTTAGTTCAAGCAATTGTACACTGATTATTCGGTCTCGAAACATAGTCCTAAACTGAAGCCGAAGTAATATCACAAATTAAATTGACGAACAATTTAATATTATTGATGTTAATAAGCATCTTTAAAACACTAAATAACTGTATACACTTAAACCAGACATTGCACATATTTTTTTCGAATAGCACTTAAAATATATACAAGGTGCGGCAGTAATTCTGTCCATTTAAAATATCTCCGCTATTCTTAGAGATATGAAATAATACATTTACTGATAGCATCAAGAAAGGTACAAATATGCTATTAATATTTAAGGGTGGAGGATTTCAAGGTCACCTCCAATTTTTTAAATGAAATTATATGATTTTTTTTTAACATAATACGATTCCTCTAGTTATTCTGCGTATAAAATTATTAATAGCCAGAAGGTATTAAGGTATCAAAAAATTAATAGTTTACGAGATATTTAACATTTTATGCCAGAATAACATGTGCCAGAATAAAGTATCTCGTGTACTATTGATTTTTCTATACTTCTACCTTAATACTTTTATACGCAGAATAATGAGAGGAATTATATTACGTAAAAGTCATATAATTTTATTTAAAAAAAAATTGAGGTGACCTTGAAATTTCCGAAGAGCCTCCACCTATAGAAAAATTATTAATAGCATATTGTTTCCTTCTTGATGCTATACAACTTTAGTAAATATATTATTTCATATCTCTAAGAATAGCGGAGATGTTTCAAGTGGACAGAGTTATTGCCCCAACTTGTATATATAGAGGGTGGTAGTTAATACTTTAAAAAATTTTAAGAGGAAAGTAGGATAATTCCTCATACTAAATAAAAACGAAAATTTCATATGACATTATATATCATATCCGAAACGGCTCAGTTTCAAAGATACAGAGTATCAAAGTTGAGGGAAAAATTTCGTTTTTTCTAAAAATTTCAAACGCACAAGTTATTTTGATGAAACTTTATGTTTTCATTAAAATAATTCAAGTGGTTTTCGAAATTTTTGGAAAAAACAAAATTTTTCCTTCAACTTTGACACGTTGTATCTTTGAAACTAAAGTCATTTCGGACATATGAAATTTTCTTGATTTTCTCTTGCGAGAAATCACCGCTTAAAATCTTTTAGAATACTTAACTACCATCCCGTATAATTTATGTGTATATGTATATAATAAATATATTATTAATAAACATGTTAAAATTTCAACTTACGGACTTTAGCTACAACAGGCATATAATGATGACCGCAGTAATGAATTTTCTTATTTTTGGGGTCGTAGAGTTTAAAAAAGAGTAAAACATCAGTGTCCTTATCAAAAGGCGGTAACGCTGTCATATCAGAGTCTGGAGGTACAAGTTCAACAAAAACGTTCCACGGATTGTGATTTTCCGCACAGTCGATGATAGGCTTTTGAAGATCAGCGTCCGGCTCAATTAGCGTAGGTCTACAGGTTTGATTTGAACGTGTACTGAAGGGCCAAATGCGAATCTGTTCTATTGGATATTTCTGTAGAATAAATTTGATAATATTAAATACCTCTACAATTTTATAGTATAATTAATATAGTATAACAATTCATTCTTTTTTATTGTTATATATAAAATAATAATATAGCATTTAATATCATTTTTAAATTCTGAAATATTAGAAATAAGGGTTGTTTTCAAAATCATTTTTTAAATATCATTTTGCAATATTATTCGAAAATAAAATTTTCTCTATATATATTATTTCTTGTGTTTATACATTTAAACGGGAAATACCAACGTAATCTTTTTAAGTTTTATTACCTACCGTGATAAAAATACAGTCTAATAAATCACCACATAGCCCACAATAGCACGTAAATTACATGGTGCAAAATATTATATCAGTATCAATTTAGTTAGTAAATAAATCATGATGTATACGTATAAGCACAAAATCAGTTTAATATAATTTTTAAATTATATATATTTAACAATATAATGGCGTTCCGGAAAAAAATACCAAGAGAGAAAATGCACATCACTTACCAGACTATCGCTCAGTAGCTCGAGAAACTCGTGCACAGTGGCCTGCTTACGTACGCGAAATACACGATATAAAGCGTGCTCTGGGTCGTAGAGATCATTTCCTTGGTGACCGTCAAAGCTATCCTCGAGAAGGACATTGACGGTCATGTACAAGTATGCCTCCGTTCTTTCCTTTCTTCTTATTTGTTCCAGCCTCTTCTCCTCTTGCAGCCTCTCCACCAGCTAGACCAACAAAATTAAAATTATCCACGTGTGTACTCATTTTGTTCTCATTAATCATTTTTCCTCGACTGTCTTTTTAATTTATGTGATTTGATTCTCTTTTTCTTTTCAGAAAAAGATTATTTCTCTCAGTATCATGCTTTTGAGATTCGAGAACAGACTGTATTCGAAATATCAAAAGAATGACGGTACAATTTCCATTTTTGTAATTTTAATTTTGTTCATCTGCCGCTATATCGACTACCAAGTCAAACAATTACACAATGAAAATTATTTGGCGGTGAGTGATGGTTCCCAGTTATTTCTTGCTGGCTAATAAATATAAGCACACAAGTAAATATACATTATTAGTAATAAATTCGTGACACAAATATGTGCGGTGGATAAATATAAATCGTAGAATAATCTTTCAATTATATATTGCGTTACCACCTCAAAAATATTCAAAATAGATATAATCGCCTGAATATAGAAATAATTAATCTTAGCAAAACACGACAAGGTATCTTAACCATTGTACATGCATATATATATATGTATATATAACACGTATTTATTCAAATACTATAACCACCACCCATGCCAAATAATTATAACAATGTAATGTGTAACTATAGTAGTGTGGAGATGCCTTGTAACTTGGATATCTCTATTACTTGAATCGTGTAAAATAGACAATAGCGGTAAAAATAAATAAAATTAACGCGGTTTCCGGCTGTGAAATTTTCTAGTATTCAACAATTTATTCGTTATTCTTTTTTTTTCTTTATTTTTATATATAAAATAGTGATATAGCATTTAAAGGTATCTCACGATTAAAGCTATTATAAAGTATTTACTCTATCGATGATATTTTAGCGTTCTTTCATCTTTTTTTCTCTCATTTTCTCTCTCCCTCTCTCTCTCTCTAATTATTCATATATAACAACAAATAAATAGATAGTATCTGTCAATGATCATAATTACTATTAACATGGAGAGAATTTAATGAATCAACGACTTGTTTAAGTGATTGCATCTTCTGTTGAAACATGAAGTTCTTACTTTACTCATTATTGTGTATCAACTTTAAATATTAATTGATGAAAACTGCGAGGGTGAGTAATATAAATCACATTGTCTCACTCACTAAACAATCCAGTTAAATAGCAAACACGCTAAAGAAGACATTTCAAGGAAGCTGATGTTTCTGACACAAGTACTACTTATCGATTATTTCTTCTCTTTCTCATATGTATTGCAAACGCTAACGGAACTTGTTAGCTCGAATCGATACTTAGTATATTCTCACTAATAATGTTCTTTTTTCCCTAATTCTCTTATACAATTATTCACACATATCCAATCCTTTCTTGAGATATGTTTGTCATTTTTCATTCACGTTTTCGATATACTACAATACAATGATTAAATTTGTTATATAGTATTATACAATGTTTGTTACAATAAACATTACCAAAATAATCCTAAGGCTCATCAAGATATTAGCCTGACGATCAGACTTTATCCAATTCTGTGGATAGATACTTTTGATAAAAGTGACAAAATGCAACACGCACATTAATTATGGATCTTTCTTTTTAATTTCTTGCGTTATTGATATAAAATTATGAGTTAAGACAAGAATAAATAAAAAAAATCACATAATTCTTATATATGCCTCGAGCGCCCATACTGAAAAAAATCCTCTGTCAAAAAGACGTCTTCGTCAATAAAACAAATCTCTATATAGCATGAATTATACAAATTCATTTGTAATATACACGCATCAATCGCATGTATCGTTTTTTATATCTTGGCCGATTAATCAACTCATTCTTACTTCAAAGCTTACTCGAATTTAACACCACCAAAAAATCAATTCTGATAATGCATGTTTAGGGCCCGGTTTTTCATTTGGTGATTAACCTGATGATAATGTAAAAATTGTATTTTTCTATCTACGATTGATCATTCAACTAATAGTTTTGTAGTGAACTTTTAAAATTATCAGTACAAAACTATTAGTTTAGTGATTAATCATAGAAAAATTTTTTATATTATCACTGAGTGTAGTTAAATATAAATCACAAGTTAATCAGATAACGAAAAATCGGGCCTAAATAGTTTGTACCATGTATTACATTATTTTGAATGCAGTACTGTATTTAGAAATAGACATGATCTATATATTATAATGTTAACATTTACCGGTACAGCAGCCCAAAGCTGAGTATCAATGTAAATCTCTGTTAAGAAAATTCAAAACAAAGTTAGTAACAACTGCTCAAAAACGTACAATAATAGAATATTTTCATTAAATAAACCTTCTAATTTGTACACACATATACAATCTCAAAAATTAAACTATCAATATGTGGTAGCCAAAATATCGCAACGAGGACAGAAAATCGCCTCGATTCTTTTTTTCTCGTATGTATATATATAATTACAATGTGTAATGTGCGAGTCTGACAATTCTATGCTATGAACAAGCCCATAGTAGCTCAATATAACATTGAAACTTCAGGAAGAGTTTAATCGAGAAGCAACGTAAGCAATTTACACTTCCTTACACCTATTTCTCCATCGGCGTTTGTCGGTTAAAAATCATGAATATAGAGATTTGGATTTCGAGGATTTTGAGTGTACGGACGAAGAGTCGCCGTCTCAGTATGAGAGTCTTTAATTGAGTCAGTCGCGTCTTTGTCACGTTCATGGTCGCTCAACTCCTGGGAAAACTCTCTTTGAAGGACGTTTCTGACCTCTTGAGGTATGTCCTCTTCCTTGACCTCTTGCAAAACGTTTTCCAGCTCTGAATTTCTTATGTAAACCAACATATAAGCGTTAGTGCAATGTTTCACAGCCATAGACATGTCCTCGTCTTGACCACCGTAGTTATGTTCAATAGCTTCCTGCTTTGTACATCGTGAGACAACATCGTCATCGAACTTACACCACTGTCACAGAACAGATCGAAAAGTTTCAAGAAGATGTTGCAACATAATAGGACATTTAAATCATATAATTTTTGTTGAAATGTATAAAGAAAATAGTACATATTCTGAGTAATTACAATCATACAATTACAATCAATCTTTTTAAATTTTATCATAAAATAAATACAAAAAATATATGAATGAGGACAAACTAATTTGATTACAATTAAAAAAATAGATTACGATAATTATTGTACCTGTACACATATGTGTATATATAGTTGTACAAGTATAAATCAAAATATATTTAGTAAAAGATTCATGAATATATATTTAATTTATATAATAGATGTTAACATTAAAAATTTAAACATAAAATCTTTTGCTTACTTTGCCATCACCAGCGGGATTAATAAATACAACATAATGTCCTCCATGATTATCGCCACTATGAACCAGAACAGCATGTAATGTGTAATCCGCACTTGTTGTTTCTTTGTTCTGCAGGTATTTTCCAAGACTAATTTTTTCATAAAACTCAAACCTTTAAAAATAAATGTACACAACTATATCTTTATGTCAAAAAATAAAATCAAAGATTTATATTCTTTATCTTTATAGAAAGAATGTTAGAAAGAGACAGACTTCTGCGCAAATAAGTGGTTTTTTTTAAATAAACTTTGATCTAAATATGATAATATTAATAAAAAAATCGAAGTGGATAGGGAACACTTAAAAAACATTAAGCACGAATATAGGATCCAAATTTCATTGTTTTGCTCAATTTTCGAGGTGTTTTCCAAATGCCCCTCATAAACTTTTTAATAATTTTATAGTTTATCGTATCCCCCGAAGGTTAAAATCAACAAAAAAAAACTTTCTTTTACTTATACATCTTTTTGAGAAAAAATTGGCCCTTTTCTAACATCTTCCAAAAAATTAGAGCAAACTTTTGCTCAAAAAGGTATATGTAAAGAAAATAATTTTTTGTAGATTTTGACTTCCTGGAAACAATAAAGTTATTAAAAAATTCATGGTGTTTGGGGAACCTTGAAAATTAAGCAAGAATATTGAAACTTGGATAAATGCACCATGTTCGTACTCAATTTTTGCATATAGTTCCTCAAACACTACGAACTTTTTAATAACTTTATCATATCCAAGAGATCAAAATCTACAAAAAAAACCATTCCTTTTATTACACTTTTTTTTAGCAGAATAATCGGCCCTTTTCAATATCTCTTGTACTTTTTAAAATAAAATCATTATATGATCATTATAATTAAAATAAGCAAGTTAATGAATTTAAATTTCTTACCTGTCATTAAATTTGACTGAACAATCCGTAACTGGGTCATACTGAAAACGCATTAAATGTAGATGTAAAACTGGTGGAAACGATGAAAAAATGACGCCTTTTTCCGCTTCCTGTAATCCGTGTTCTCCTGCATCATATTTATTATCGCCATCAAGACTTTCTGTACTCACATAATCACTAAAAGATTCGTAAACTGAAATATAAAAAATTTATTAGTTTTCTTTGTTACTCAAATATTATAGGTAAAAACATAATGTTAATTTTTATACTCACTGTTTTTCTTGCCCTTTATATTTAACTGTATATCATAAAATGTTTCAACTCTTGTGGATTTGTAGTCTATATTTTTACACTTGATAAAAGAGACCATTTTTCCCTCAAACAATTTTGGCACTGTACCTTCCACGCATGTTCCCTTCATTTTGCTCTCCAACTTATCTAATAGCTGAATTTTCACATGATTAGTTTGTGTATTATATATATATATGTGTGTATGTGCGCGCGCGCGCGCGCGCGTTATGAGCGCTCATATGTACACATATATACAGGGTGTTTTATTTCAATTAAAACAGTCAATTTCTGGAAATAACAAGATTTTAGAGAAAAATATTTCAGAAAAAAGTTGTAAGATTAGAAGGGCGACATAAGAAAATACCATTAATTTGACCTTGACCTGACCTTGATGGCACCATCCAAAGTCAAACTAATGGTACTCTCTTATGATCTCCTTAGAATCTCACAACTTTTGTCTGAAATATTGTTCTCTAAAATCTCGTGATTTCCAGAAATTGGCTGTTTTAATTAAAATGGAACATTCTATATATACAAAAAAATGTATACAATGTTACATACTAAAAATTCAAGTATAAATTTATGCAATAAAATGTTCAATATATTTACCACACGTAGAAATTCCTGCACATCATGTTGCATGAAAGAATCCAGCGTCTCCCATCCAAAACTTTTGGTTAATTTTTTTGTACCGACAGGCTTGTCGGAAAACTGTAACTCATGAAACACCCTTTGTAAAGCTAGTGCAACACTCTTACTTGAATCATCGCTCTCTGTTGGCATTTTGTATACTGCCTTTCGCAACTAAAGAGAGCAAGGATAAATTAATAAAAGAAACGTCAGATAATTTATCATATATCACACAAAAATGCCTTCACCTACTTGATTTGTAAAATAGAGAGTTTGCAATAAAGAATTCATATAACATGTAGCACCCTGATTTTTCAAGCCTACATATCCCGTATGTTTTTTACTGTCCCAACTAACTCCATGAGGTGCATCAGCCACTACATGAACCTAAATTAAACGAAACATTATAAAAATGTAACATAAATATGCAATATGAATCTTATGGAATTATTAGTGTTTTTTAAAATATTAATTATCACATTCATATATAAATGTCATTCAATTTTAAGAAAAACTCCTATAAAGTCAAACATGTTTTTTCTTATAAATTAAAAATTTTATAAATTATAACAAATACTTTAGGACAGTTTAGGAAAAAAAAAATTATAGAAGAAAATTTGGCTTCCTAGTTCTCCATGAAATTAAGTGTCACTTATATATTTGATACTTGTATTAATTCTGTCAAAATTCTGTTTAATATGATATATTTTGTTACAGAAATATATATTTTAAGGCTCCTGAATAGTTACCACAGTCATACTGAATCTTGACATCAGAAGCAAGAAATGACACGTTAATTTTTATTACGTGCCATTTGTAAATAAAGATAATTCAGATAAAATAAAATGAGATTGTTTTAAAACATTTGTAAAAATAGACAAAAACTATGCTCATCCCACCTGACAGTTAGTAATCGTAAAAAGTGATAAAAGGCACTTATAAGTGAAAATAAGTTATGCATACGCATTAAATAAAATGTTTCACACACTTCATGTGCCTTTTATCACCTTTTACAATTACTGACTGTCAGGATAAGGACTGTAAGGATAACTTTCATCTATTATTACAATTCGTCTATTTTTACAATTGTTTTAAAACAATCTCATCATTTTATTTTATCCAAATTGTCTTTATTTACAAATAGCACATAATAAAAATCAACCTGTCATTTTTCGCTTCTGATGATTCAATATGACTGTAATGACTACCCAGGAGTCTTAAAATATAGATATATTTGTAGATATATTTAAAAATTATATAAACATAATTATAATTATAAATTTAATTGCAAAATAAATAATAATAAGTATCTAAATGGCTCAGAAAATTTAAATTTAAAACAAAATCAACAAAGGACAATAAGCTAAGTACAAAGTTAGTGCGCTAAAAAAAAGTATTAAATTGCAATATTTTCTCAAAACGATTCGATTTACATCAAACTATCCTCAATGAATAAAACAACTTACAAATGAATCATAGTTAAATTATATTATTTCGATATAATAACTAGAGTAACAGATAAAAACTAAATAGAAAGAGAAATATTGAAAAAATTAGTACTATTTAAAACATAAGTTAACAAAGATATGCTACAAACCTCAAGAGTAATTGAATCGTCTTTTATGAAACCTCTATCAGGATCTAGAACATCTTGCCATGTCATAAAGTGACTAAAGCCCCAATCATTCTCTTTACTGTAGAAGAGGTGTTGAATTTCTATAAAAATATAACACATTATACTCTGCAAAAAAAGTGTTAATTTCATTCTTATCAGAATTAATTTCAGTCAATATATAATTATTTAATTAATAAATGTATTAAAGAAGAGTGGAATCTCATTTACTTCTGCTAAATGGTTCTTGTCCTTCTTTGCAAGAAAGAAGACGCAGTTCAGCAACAGCGTAACAACTCCAAGATGTGGATTCGCTTTCTCCGTTACATTGAAGGAAAAATCCAAGAGATCTCTGTGGTTGTCTTTCCTGTGTTTGACTTGACCGTGGCATCACCATTATTTTCCATGGTAAATTACGAACATAACATGCAGGGGACAATTGTGAATCCTTCATCTTAGATATATTTTCAACAGTATATCGAAAAGTAGCTTCTGATCGGGCCTCATCTAATATATAGAAAAGAAATATAGAATATTTATGGAATATAATAAAAATAATAAATATATAAAAGTTAATATCAAATAGACAAAAGCAAAATTAAGATTATTTAAAAAGCATAAATTTTGTTTAATTTATTAGACACAGTCACACAAACACATATAATGCAAGATTATCTCCAAAATAATTTAAACAAATAAAATGATATATAAAACATCATCAAATTCATCATACCTTCCTCCATTTCTTGATCCTGAACTATACATGCTAATTCTGGTTCACCATTTATAGGACGGTTGTCAGTTCCGTCTCCCCCACCATCATTTGGGGTTTCTACAAAAATTAATATTTATCTTTTTAGCAGTAGAATAAATCTAATAAACATTTAAAAATAGAAAAACATTTACATACAAAGTAATAAAAATAAGCAGTTTAACTTTATATTTCACAGTAAACTTGATAAACAATAAATGCTTAGAATTTTGTTAAACAATTTGCAATATATATATACCATTTACTTTTATGTATTAAATTATATACTAAAATAAATATATATTTTTACACAACTAACTGCAATATAATTTAATATTGATAGAGAATAATTGATTTACCTAGAGGAACATGGCAATTCTGAAAGATCTTTTCTAAAAAAATATAAAAATTACAATGTATGGAATGACACTTCATGTGGAACGCTTTGATAGCAAATATAACGATTACAGTAGAGTCGAAAGAAAACAAAGAGAAAACAAACGAATTGATCACCAGCTGAACATCATAAAGTTATAAATTGATATTCACATTTTGCAGCAACACTAAGTACAGTTTCTTTCACTCTAAATTTAATATTATATAAATAATATAAAAATACAGAATCACTCGCGCGCTCGCGTCAATTTATCACCAATTTTTATTTATACTGTAAAAAAGGTTGATCAAATATTAACCGTTCAGCAGCCCAGCCGTACATACTACAATAAACTTTATCAGCAATGATTACATTTATATATCCACGAAAATTTCTGATAATGGAATTATGACGTAATGCCTCGTTCTTTATTATCTATCTACAATATTATCTATCTACAATCAGATATATTTAATTTGCCATCAACGCGCGTTATTTTTAAGACTTGTATTTATTGTAGGTAATATTTCACATTACTCACGCAAAAAGAACCACATTTTACTTTTCATATCGAATAAAATAAAATAAGAAAAAAGTCAAAGAATGTCGAATAAAACAATATTACAGTATTGTATGATTTGTGTAACGACATTGTTAACGCGAGCTACGATTCTATACGGTTCTATAATTTATAAGATTTGCCCGACCTTCTTTCGCGAATTGTAAAAAAAAAATGTTTATCTATAAAAAACTAACACATATCTTTTCATTTATTCGTACATAAATATGTACTTGTAATTATTTCCTAATATTCAATGTCAATAATACAAATTATTCTTGTAAATACAAGTCTAAAGTGAAACGAAAGTTCGACGAGCGCTAGTGGCGCTAATTAACATTATAGGAAGCCAATCACGAATGCCCGATATCAAGTCATCGTGCTATCAGAAGCAACGCGCGAAATAAATAAATTGCTTGCTAGGTCGTTCTGTATAGTAATCTGCAGATGTATGAAAAAGCTCTCTTGCACCATGTCTCCTCTAAATATAAAAACGATTTCGCAAACATGCGCTTACGATCTCTTACGATCGGGCGGAAAAAAAAAAGAAAATTCGAAGAAAGTTGGGGAAGAGCTCCGACATAGAAGAGCCCCCCTCTCTCTCTCTCTCGCGTACACATACCATGTACGCGCGCGCGCACACACATACACACATACTCCCTTGTGCGCGCGCTCTCTCTTTCTCTCTCTCTCTCCTCCCCTTCCCTCTCATTCTCTCCTTCCTTCCTCCTTCCTTCCTTATTGAAAGCTCTGGCACTTGCTTCCCAGCAAGGCAAGATGAGAAAGAGAGAGATAGTGATAGATATATGTATACAAAAGTATATATATACATAGCTATAGCTACACACACATATATATGTATATATGTGTGTGTGTGTGTGTGTGGTAAAATAGCTAGAAAGATAGGGTGTAGATGAAAAGATAGATGGACAGATAGATAGATAGATGAAGAGGTGCACTCACCCTCCTGTGTGTCCATCTCTTCGACCTCGTTAACCTGAATGGGTGCGAGGCTGAGCTGCTTGAGGTTCTCCTGATCGTTTACGTGGTTCATCGCGAAGCCGATGTTGATGGTCGTTTTGATGGCGCCGGGTACCTCGGTGACGGCCTCCGCCGTCGAGGTTACGTTGTTCGTGTTAGTCAGTGCCTGCTGCTGTTGCTGATTGTTCTCCGCTGCTAGCTGCGCGGTCGCAAACGGTACGCGATTCCGGTAAGAAGGAGGAGAAGGAGGTGGAGGAGGAGTCGTCGTTTTACCGAGCGCCTTTCGGATCTGTACCGTAGCCAATGAAGTCCGATCCTGTTGTTGAAATTGTTGCTGCTGTTGCGACGGTGGCGACGATTGACGTTGCTGATAATTCGATTGTTGCAACTGCTGTCGCTGTTCCGTTCCTACGATTACCCGGCTACTATCGAAGCCCACGTCGCTACTCGACAGCGACGTCGCTTTACCGCACTCCGACGATAGATGTTTGCTCGCAGTTCGCCCAATTTCTGCGGCCATCAAGTGCCCCCACTCGTACGGGGGACGCCCACAGCATATATTCCACCCTCGTATTATTAAATCGCTAAGTACGCGACTCGAGTACCCGTACTACTCCTTGTACGTACACGTACTCTATACAAGTCTACCTATTCTCTTCGTACGCGCCTCCGAAGTCCGAGTGTCGCCACGACTGCGATCAGTGCGATCGCGGCAATCTTCGTAGTGGTGGCGACGGTAGCAACGGCTTGTGACGTTGTGACGATGTTTGTAGTAGTTGTGATTGCTGCCACTGCTGGCTAGTAGTAGTGGCAGTAGTGCTAGCTAATAACGAGCTGACGACTTGACGAGACAGCGGTGCCAGCGATGGTGTTGGTGATGCTGAATGGTGTTAGTCGAAGCGGCGGCGGCGGCGGCGGTGATGGTGGCGGTCTGGCGGTGGTGGTGGCGGCGGCGGGCAACGACGACGGCCGTCTCGCCTCTCGTTCCGGCGCGGCGCCTCGCGCACCGACCTCCCCCCCTTCCTCCCTGCCGTGCGCGCGCGCAAGATCCCGATCCGTAAAACTGTTTCCGCTGCGCGCTTTACCGGCGCTCAGCGACGAGTCGACGACGACGACGACGCGATCACCGTCGACGGTTGTATACAAGGACGATCGCAAACGACGTTGACAATGTTGCGCGCCGTTACTCACTTCGCGTTCTTTCTCTCCCTCGTACTCTCTCTCTCTCTTTCGCTCCTTTTCCCCCTTTCGCTCTTTCTCTCTCTCTCTACTCAAATATGCTCGTCGTCGCTGCTAGATCTCGATCAGGCTCACTGCCTCACTCTAAATTCTCGACGACTCGCTGTGATATCCGTCTGCGAGCGAACCCACCTGTATCGTTGTTCTCGCAGCAGATTCTTTCTCCTCTTTTTTACTATTTCTCACCTTCCGGCTGGTGAAGCCGGATGTTTATTTCGAATAACACGGACGAATACGCGCGGGCCGATCCCGTACGTCGCGATCGTCGTTCACGGATCTCTCTCTGTCTCGCGAAAATAAACAAAATGGCGGCGACTCGGCTGCACGGTTGCGCCAGGTTGCGCTCACAGATTTCTATATATTACACTAGACTGCTAACTCCCCACACGTTTTCCTTACGTAAAAGTGCTGCCTGCGCGAATTAGATGCGCAGAATAAAGCCCATGGCACATACAAAAACGTAAGGCCGTAAGATGTAATCAGTAAGCGAATTGGCCAATGACGATAGAGACCGTAAGGCCAGTAGCGAATCCAATGTTACGATTTCCTTACTGCTTACGTCTTACGGCCTTACGTTTTTGTATGTGCCATGGGCTTTAGACCGTCACGTGACCGCACACGTACAGAAAAGAGATGCCAATAGGTCATGTGACCAACACCCTCGTGATTGATTCGAGATGTTCGAGAAGTTACGTTCGTAAATTTCCTTAGAGGCCCTGGTCACAGTATAGGTAAGAACAGTAGTTTCACTCTGTGTCGGCACCTTTAATCTGACGCAAACGACCGCCATGATGAAAATTGTGCATGAGCACCTATAAGAGCAAAGAAGAATCGTAGGCCGGAATCAGACAGGCATTATGCGGGGTCTACAATAGAAGTAGCGGTCGTAGGATCTTAAGTCATAGAAAATTGACCAATCACAGTTGATTATTCTTCTCATATTCGACTGTGATTGGTCAATTTTCTACGACTTAAGACCTTACGACTGCTACGACTTCTATTGTAGACCCCGCATTAAAGATTGAGATTGAAGATTGAAAGATTGAAATTTGACCAATCAAAACAATAGGAGCTAAAATTCCTTTGCCCTCATTGGTCAAATTTCAATCTTCGATCTCAATCTTCAATGCGTAGTCTGATTCCGGCTTTAAGGTATCTTTTCATGCTGATACTCGACGCTCATTTTCAGCGTCAAAATAAATCATGGCCGGTATTCATAGTCAGATCTTATTTCAAGACCGTCTTAAGTGATGTCTTAAGATGCTAATACAGCCCTCTGATTGGTTCGTGACATCTCAAGACTGAACTTAAGACGGTCTTGAATATAAGAACTGACTATGAATACCAGCCCATGTGTTCAAAATTGACGCTTGATATTCGTCAATGGGCGCATTCAGCGAACTCAACAGTTGAGTGAGCGCTCGCTGTTATTGGTATATTCTTTTAACTCATCCAATCAGAATTTTAGATCTAGAAGAATACTTCAATAGCAGCGAGCGCTCATTCAACTGTTGAGTCCGCTGAACGCAGCCAATGCATCTTAACTTGTTCAACGTAGAAGAGTCTATCCGGAAACTCTGGAGAGTAGGTTATCGGTCATCGTTGTTCTGACCAATTACCTTTTCGGTTCTAGTTATCATGCAATTTCTACTTCTTTATTATTATTGTGCAATTTCCATTTCTAGTTGTAAACTCTTTCCAATTCTAGTTGTTAGCTTGATTTTAATGTAATGTACTTGTATTAATGTAATCCAATTGTAAATACACACATATATATATATACAAAATTTTTCTTAACGAAATCTTACTCGATTCGCCGAAATCCTTTTTGCGGATGTATATCAATTGGCCACATCATTAATTGGCTAATTTAAAATAATATAATTTCATTGGTGAAGCAGTGAAAAATTACTAGAAACAAGCCGATGTGAGTGGTGTGCGCAATGGAACTGTGTGCATGTACATCGTTCCCAATTATTCCACAGCCTGCGGACCGACACCTGGAATCCCGCTGACCAAGGTTATAATTAGACAACGAAAAATAAGGATGATTGGACGAAATACCATATCGCATGCCGATAATAACGGGACCATGAATCGTAAGTGCATATGTCCCATACACACGCATTCGCGCCCGTCTATTAACTTGATCCTTAGCAATCAACCCTTAAAGCTGGTTCTACATTAGTCGCATTGCAGCGTCGCAAACGTTGCGGTCCAATCAACGTCAAGCTAGCTCGACTCTGATTGGATTGCAACGCTGCGACGCTGCGATGCGATCAATGTAGAACCAGCTTAATGCGTCGTTTACAATATGCGAAGTAAGTTTGGTTTAAGAAGCAAGAGTAAGAAATTGATCAATCACAATCGATTATTCTTTTCATAATCGACTGTGATTGGTCAATTTCTTACTCTTACTTCTTAAACCAAGCTCACTACATGTATTGTAGACGAGCCGGATCTATAATAGGTGTTTTAAGCTTTACGCCGTAATGCGGGGTCTACAATAG